ATGAGATTCAATTCATGACCTCCCATTTACATGAAAATATAGGAGCTTTCGTGTCACGAACATCATTTAATTAATTTCAAATTCTCAAGTGGGCGTGTGCGTGTGTATTTTAACTTAAAATAACCATTATTTTAAGTTAAATCCCTCTTGATAAGCTCAAATAATTAAAAAGCTTTTGGTCTTAATTAGGGCTTTCCTAATTTTTTCTGTCCTAAAATAAAATTAGTTTTGCCGTTTGGTCCACAAAGTACTACTCCCTTTTGCCCATCTTGTTGGAGGTATGAGTTGGTCGCGTCCAAACCCTTGAATTCAACCACTCGTAACGAAAGTGACGACTTGTTCAACCTTCCGAAAAGCATAAATATATATATATATATATATATATATCAGCAAATCGCCCCCCCTCTATATTTATATATACACCCGCTCATCATCCTCTACAGTATTCCATTCACCTGGTCATCAACAAGTTCTTTAGTTTTCCCAACACAACACCAACTTGGATTTCGTCTGCTTCATCTCAGAAACCCACACACACACACACACATATAGCCTAAACCCTGAAGGATTATTATTCATTATTATTGTTCTTGTTTACTGAATCAATCATTCATGGAAGTGTTTCGTCGTCGTCGTCCTCACCATGAAGAAGAAGAAGAAGCTGCTTCGACTTGTGCTTACAGCAAAGAGGGTTTCAGCATACCCTACTTTGCCAGAGAGAAGATTCATGAAGGCACACAGAAGAAGAGGGTCGTCTTTAGATTCAAGAAGATTCATTCAATCAGGGATCGAGGTCATCGTTCTGGTCCCTTTAGCTCCATGGCACGAAAGCTTGGCCGTTTCAAGGTGCGATTGGTCGTTGTTCATCACGACCCTCCAAACGACAACGGTTAACCCTGCGTTGCACTTGTTCCACGTACTAAACCCTAGCTAGCCACCCTGGAATTGTATATAACCATGACTTCTTAATTAGTTCCAAACATGAAAATGATTCTTTCTATTTTTTTCATAACATTTTTTATATTCTTGTAATATCGCTCCATCAATAATATTTTTTCATTACTTGAAAGTGAGAGATGATTTTCTATGTTTTACCTTTGAAGTTTTTAATCAATCAGTATGCAAACGGTCTGAGTGGCTTGTCTGGATGTTAAATAATACTACCTTCAGTCTTTAATATAGGACCTCGTTTGACTTTTATTTTCGCCCTAATTATAAGGCTCCAATCTACTCTGTCTTTTATATTTATGTATTTTTTCTAAGATAGTTCCTCTAATAATGATAGTTCTAGCTAATAAACTTGATTAGTAAGGATATTTTAGGAAAAACAATACCTATTTATTACAAATAATTAACTTAATTTATTTCATTAATCTCTTTAAATTAGTCAACTAGCTCTTATAATTAGGACCGGAGGTAGTAATATTTAAAAGCACTTAACTATAAATAATTCTAGAGACTTGGGTAATTTAAAATTATAATTTCATGGTTTACTTAATTGGTAGGCTTTCATAGGAATAAATTCAACACTAATTAAAAGGGAATAATAATTTAGGAGAATATGAGAACATCTTAAGAATATTTGTTATTATACTTGATTAAATATCAACTCAAATTCTACTAATTATCATAGGGTAAATATTGAACTTCAACACTTCCTGTAATGGTATTCTTCTCATAATCAACTCTCTCACTTTTATATTTATAATTTTCTACATATTCTCATTAAATGATTTATCTTAATTTATTTTCTTAAATTATTATTAACTATTACGTGGAAAACTTCCATGTGGTGGGTACTTCCTCATAATATTAGGGGATTTATTGACTACACCAATCCTGTACGTAAACTCGTGAGAGTGATCAATTCTAAGATACATTAGAAATGGTCAGCTGTAGTTGTCCATTATGACTCTTAATTATGATTAATTCAAAAAAAAAAATAGACTTATTCTTTCATTTAAGGTATCTTTCAGGTTGGTCCGAGGATTTGTGGAAGATTTTCATTATTACAAAACATCAAATTTTAAACTAACACCGGAAGAAGTTATTTTAAGGGGAAACTGAATTGTTTAGGTTGGCATTTTATAGGCAAACAAAAATAAATTGACAAATTTTCAAAGCAAATGTGCATAAATAGTTCTCATTATCTCTATATATTGAATTAAATCTGAATTATATTTTTTCACGAAACGTGCTGAAAGAAGAAAATGGATGCTTATAATTGAATATCAAACTTTGAAAGTAATCTCCTCACTTTTGAGTTTTGAGATAATGCGAATGGCTTGTCGTGAAACTTGGCAAATGATGAATTGGTCGTTCCAGTCCCTTCACTTGCTTCGCACTCAAGCTCGGTCGTTTCAAAGTTCGATCCTTCGTTGTTCAAGACCCTCCAAACGACAACCATTAACCATGTCGTTTGCTTCCTCCACATACTAACCCCTCCCCCTCTCTAATTGTATATAACATGTATCACTTCTTCAATTCCAAAGATTAAGTATATAGTAGTTTATTCTTGTAATACTATTCAATAATACATTTTCTGATTCTTCGAATGTGAGAGTATGATGATGATTATGATTATATATTTGCTACCTGTTTTTTTTTTCTTCTTAATGTCCTTTTTTACATTTCGTAGCTTTTTTTTTTTGGTCCTGAATTTACATATCGTAGATTAGTATACAAACAGTTTAATCCATAAGAGTTTTACGTTTGTTTTTTTTGGGGGGTGTTTTGGAAATCCTATAGAAACACTTTAAAAAAATATTTATATAAATCGAGACAAAATTCTTTTTATATATTTATCTCAAATTTCAAAAAATCACTTGTAAAAAGCTAAGCATAAGAGGGAAAATCGGAGTTAAAAAAACTAATCATTTGATGTGAGTTAGAAGCACTTTTCACAGTTCAAACGAATGATCATCAGTTTTGAATAATTACACTACCTCCGGTCCTAATTAGGTCTTATAATTAGGATCAGAGATAGTGTGTATATATATACATATATGAATGGACAATTAAATGACATTCAACCTTCACCCAAAAAAAAAAGACGTTGAACTTCAGTAACAGAAAATTTGAATATCAACAGCTTAGGAACGGTCAACTGTACTCATCCCATATGATTAATTCAAATCAAAAGATTATTCCTTCATCTTACACACAGGAGATCACCATATTGGAAAGGACATTTGGCCCGCGGTTTTATGGAAGACTTTGATGGTTAGAAAATATTAAGCTCCAAATAAAATTGCAGGAAATTATCACCAAATTGGAAAAGACACGTTAGTATAATCTGTGAGTTTTTAAATGGGCATTTTTCTTTGACTATGCGTGGCTGAAGCAGAAAGTGAGATAATACATGTCAAATTATATTTTTTTTTAAGAGAAAAGAACGTGTCAGATGCTTATAATTGAACGAGACTTTTTAAAGTAATTTTCTCACCCCTGATGTGATTGAACCATTCATATACATTATACATAATAAAAGTCATGGATGAAGAAATCTGTAATCATATAAAATGCTACTGTACAATAACTAAAATACCGACATTTAACTCCTCATTTAAGAGAAAGAAAGAGAGAAATAAAATTGATATATGTTTAAAAAAAATAGATGATAGGTGAAAGAAATGGTGTTAAAATATAGATATAATTATTAATTGTTAAATCAGCAGAGTATAGCTAGGGGGCAAAACAAACTCTGGATTTTCAAATAAGAATACCACGTCAACAATGAAAAGTACAAGATGCGTCTAATTTGCTGCTCATCCTCCAAATTTTTAGGTTCAATTATTTAGGGGGAAAACTTGAAAAGACTCAGCAACTGGAAGCCAAGGAATCAAACTTAAAAGTCTCCGTAAAGACGCATACTAAAAATTCAAAACAACCAGTCAACCTAGGTTGAGCCATTTTCACCTAACTATTCTTCGAGACGTGTTCTGTGTTTAAGAAGATGGGAAAATCACTAGATGATCCCAATGAATGAATGTTGATACTAAAGAGTCTCATAATAAGAAAATGACTAGTTTTAGTATGAAAAATAACAACAAGGTTCATAATGTTCACTTGTAATTGGAATTTTTTTGGTGATCATATTCTTGGGGTCTCATGGTGATTTTGCCTAAAAAATTCTACCATGTCATGACAGAGCAACAACAGATTTTTTCCCCCCATTTACCACTATTGATTTAAGATCAGGAGCGCAATAGATGCGACAACTGAAATATGCTTAATCTCACTGTTCACCTCAGATAACCTAATGATTAAATGAGTGTATTCAACACCACAAAATACATTCAGTTCCAGAGAGTACTATATATACTTTTGAAAATAGAAGGAAGCTAACTAATTCCAGTTTGAACTTTCCATCACACTTTTTATATTCAAATCAAGCAAGCTATCTGACACTGAGGAAGAGACTGAGTATAATATTTAAACCAAGTATGAATAGTTTATTTGCTATGCTAAAAGAAAATACAAAAATTAGAACCTCCAAAAGTTTAGAAGTTAGTAAATAGTCGATTGGCTGGTCAAAATAAAAGTAAATAGTTCATTGCATATTTCTGGATCTTTACCATTTCAATAAGCCACTCGATTTTTACCTTTTAAATAATCTACTCAATTTTTTCCTATCTCATTTATCAGAATAAGGACAAAAGGAATCCAATTTCAAACCTTGACTAGTGGTCATAACACCGCAGGAAGTCCAACCGCCTACCACCATCAACTCTCTCCACAGTCATAAAGATATGAATTATAATATGATAATGTTAAGTGCCATAGAACAGCTAGCAGACAAAGCAAGACAAATATTCAGGAGGGTCACCAAGGAAAGCTACACCACAGAATTAAATCGGCTAGGTATAGAGGGAAAATTTGCCAGTCTGAAACACGATCACTATCGTTAAAAAATATTTTGTCTACACCAAAATTATCAGTACCACTTCTAGAAGTGACAATTCTAGACAAATTAATACTCTCAGTATAGCCAATACCTATTTAAGCAAAGCATGTAAATTCATTTAAGTTATAAACCAGCTTCCCAAGTCGATCACAACAACACAATCAATATCACTTAAGGAGAAAACTGTACTTAGATACTATGGGATGAACGTCCCAGCATCAGAGATATCAGATAAATCACGTCTATCATACTTGAAAGTTAGACATAAATTGACTGATTTGGGTCTTAATGAAAGTATAGAACGGATGTTCATCGTGTTCTTAAGATAAAAGATTGGTACATGACATTACAGTGTGGACAATAAAGATGAAAGCAACAGAGAAGCAGCAGAGGTGCTATGCATAATACAGAGGACGCCTATATTCGTCAAAGTACTGCTCCCGATCGACAAAAACAATTGCATAGAGGGCATAAATTATTCCTGGAATATAGCCTAGCAGGGTCAGGATCAAGCAGATGAGGAATTCAACCTGCAACAACGTAATTGTAGTATCCGATTCGTCACAATCAAATTGCCAGGCATTTCAATCAAGACAAGGAACGGTACAACTTCAATTGTGCAATCTTATTATCCATATAATCCCATGACTCAATTCCGCGTAATAAACACAAATAACCAGTCGCATAATACACAAATTGAGCATATATGCTGAGACAAGAAAAAGGGGCACTCTCAATTTGAGACCAAAAAGTGAAAGAACATTCGTACGAAAAGACGATAACTAAACAAAAGTGGCGAATCTCTGCGAACAAAAACCAAGAAACGAAAGCCTTAGAAAAGGGGGGGAGAGAGAGAGAAGGAGAAAGAGACGTACGCTGCAGCAGCCATGCCGGAGGCAAACCCCAAGAGGAGGGAGCAAGACGGCGATGAGTATTTCGCAGACGATTTCACAACGAGTCGGCATATTCAAAAGTCAGAGGCAGGACTGGCTGAACTCAATTTCCATTTATGAGGAAGGAAACAAGATTCGATCTGCTTCGCCCTTCCGCCTTCGCCAATTGATCTTCGCCATTTCAGCTTTCGCGGATTGGACCCCACCCTTTTGGACTCGACGAAATTTCTTACCGCTATATTATTATTATTATTATTATTATAAAATATAATTTTTATTCTCTAAATTTTTCTTCCATTATTAATTTAGTTTTTCAAGTTTTAAAAACTAAATATTATGATATTGATTTTTTTTTTGTGGCAAGTTCGGAATTTGATTTTGCATGCATCACTGAGATATTGTTGACCTCAAAGTTTTAAGAATTGAATCTATAATTAAGAAAATGTTCAGAGCTAAAAGTTATATTTTTTTTCACATTATTATTTGTTTCAGTTCTTAAAATATTTCTATCATAATGTAAGTTATAACTATTTTTTATGAAAACTCTTTATTATATATAAAAAAATTACAAATTTAGGTGACAAAACGAAGCGAGATATTATATTTAGGTTCAAGATAAAACCTTTGTCTTTTTTTTGGTACCAGCCCTTTGTTTAATTTTATATTTAGGACTTGCTGTGATATTATTTTAAAATTAGCATCAGCGAGGATTGCGTGGGTTGAATAGTATTGGTAAGAGTAGTATCGAACTAATGGCAGCCTAGCATAGGTTGTGGGCTCATTTGTTTTGGGCCTACTTGGACTTTAGGAGGGTCCCAACAACACCTGTCTCCAAGAACATGAGGCAAGGGATAAACTCCAAGTACCCAAAAAAAGAAAAAGGGATAAAGTCCCCAGCTATTTTTGTTTTTAAATATTAATTAATGCAGAATTAAAAATATTATTTTATTAAATAGTTCTAATTTAAGTACTTTTCAACTAATTTATATAATTTAAATGTGTCCTTATGTAACGGTTACAATGCGGAGAATCATACAGTGCTATTGCTTTAATAATTTAGTTTAATTCCGGTCAAAAAAAAAATTTAGTTTAATTCTTTAGTTAATTATGTGGGGTAATGATTTGAACAAACCATTGATATGACGAGTCAAATAACAACAAAAGTATGCTTTTTTTCTTTACAAGCCACAATCATGGAATGTGTAATGTTATAGTCATCCCAACTTCATGCATACGGTATCCTAAGCCTGGAGGCAATACTATTTGAAGGAATACTGAAAACTTTGGTTCTGCTTTTTTTGTTTTCTTGTTCCCAAAATAATTTTATGAAATAATTTTTTTAAAATAATTTTTGAGAATAAAAAAATATATGTTTAGATAATTATTTTAAAAAATCATACTTCAAACAAAAAAATATAAACAATTACATTTGGTAAGCGATGACCATTGCTGGAGGTGACACGTGGGAGACGTAGGTAAGAAAAGAAAAAGGTTTTCTAAATTTTCAAAACAAAAAAAATACAAAAACAAGAAAACATTGAAAAATTATTTTGATTTTTTAGTTTTTAAAAATATGTTCTGTTTTTTTTTTTTAAACAACCAACTGAAAACAAACTTCCAAACAAGTTTTTGTTTTTCAAAACTAAAAATTGATTTGAAAATAAGAAACCAAATAAACCTTAAATGTTGACACATTTTTCAATAAGAATTCAAATTTTGGTTTATCCCTGTTTAGAACAGCGTTCAAAAGCACTCATAAACACATTTCACATAAATCAAGATAAAATTCTTCTTATATAATTATCTCGTATTCTGAAAATTACGATGGAAAAGAATTTACAAGTTTTTGGTGGTCTCTATTGCACTGTTTTTTGTTGTGTTTCCGTTTTTGAAGTATGGGCTGTGTGTTTTTTATGGTTGTGGTGTTTCTCTCTTTTTGGAGCAAGGCTACCGTTGGGCCTATCTATTTCTTGTTTCTGGGGTTCACATGTTAGGCTCTCATATATGTTTCGCTCTCTAATCCTGCGCAAGAGATTTCAGTCTGTTACGTATCTTTTTACCTTTCCTTTAGTAAAAATAGCCTTGTAGTATTAAAAACACAACAAAAGCAATTTTTGTATATTCACACTACATCAAGTGCTGATAAATACAGTTCACGTAACTACTTATGTTAAGAGTTTAATTTATAAATACGTTCATGTCATTACGATTAGAAACCTGCTTTTAAAGGTTTTTATCATCATTCCAAAAAACCCAGCTGGTGACCCAAATTTGAGTGGTTTAAGTTTAACATTTTACAAAACAATTTTTTTTTTAATGTGTAAACTTCGATCGTTTTGATCTTTGTTTTGTTCTGATTGATTTTGGTTAGTCCAAACTAAGGGAAGATTAATTATTTGGTTATCATAGCTTTGCCTAAATTATAATTTAGTCACTTAAATTTAATTCATTACAACTCAATTGCTATAATTTTAACCATTAGAAATATTATTTCCTGAGTTTTGGGGAAAAAAACTTTGATTCTTACAATTTTTTTAATGTGGGAACCAACATTTTAAATAATTAAAATTATAAGGATTGAGTTTTAGTCTAGTACAAATCGTGGGAATTGAGTTGCATCAAGTTAAATTTTAAAGATTGGGTTGCAACCAAATAAAAACTATATAAACCAAATGATTAATTTTTCAATTAACAATACAAATTTACTTTCTCAATAATTTAGTATTTTAATAATATTTTTATACAATATTAAATAAATAAAAACTACATAAATTGATCTTAACTCCTGAATCTTGATGAAAAGAATAAAAAGGAAAACAAAGTGAAAATTGTTTTTGCCATCAGAAGTAAAACTGTTGGTATACTTTTTGGCTCTTTTGTTCTCCGAACCAAAAAGATGAGGGTCTTTTTGAAATGATTTTAAAATATTTTTTTAATTATAGTTTATGAAATAGAAAATAAATATATAAAAAGAATTTTATTTTGATTTATACAAAACGTGTTTCAGAACTTCACTCTAAGCACGGCCTAACATGGCGCTGGCTTTTCAAAATTCAATTTTTAGAGCAGCAAATACTGAATCTGATTAAATTATTGATTTTTTTATAGAAATTAATTATTGAATTGATATTGACATCTATAGAAAGTCAACCTTTTCTTCTCCTCCTTTTTTTTCCTGTGTTTTTTCAGCATTATAAAAAGAACGACAGAACCCCACTTTTTGATCTGATTGACGGGAAAGTTCTAACGCAAATATTTTATAATAACTTTTAAAAAAATATTTTAAAGTGCTGCGAATATATTATAAAATATTTTGAAGTTACTACCCGAAAATGCTAACCCAGCAGTCCCCGCTTTCTCTACTTCTGAAACTGCGTTACGCGAAAACTGGCCTCTCACAGCGAATCTCTCTTCTTCTCTCTAAAATTGAAAGCTTTCCAGCTGGAGTTGCAACCCGCCGTAGAGCCGCGTCTTGTTAGAGCACGGCCTTGCAGAACCAACGCGCATTTTATATTTTCTGCCACCATACCGAAGTTTTGAGCCTTTGATCAGACAGACTGAGTTTTCGTCGGAACTCATCTTTTTTATTGGTTAATACTCGTAAATTAAGACTCTACTAGGGATCCCAATTCCTTCAAGGTCCTCTTCCAGGATACTCTTCACTGGACTCATCGGAACTTGTCTTCGAGAAAGTCCATGGAGTTTAACTTTCGTGCGGGGGATCTGAGGACACCGTCTTTTCAACTCCCTTCTCTGGTACAAAGCCATTTCTCCGACCCCTCCTTGTTGCGAGGTTTGTATTGTATGTTCGGGACCCTCGATTATTGGGTTTTCGCTTGAGGGTTATAACGCTTGACGTATGTTTGATGTCTGGAATTTCTTTGTGCATATCAGGTGGTTTTCCGGTGCCGAACACTGAGCAAATACGGAATCCGAACGCCCACGGCGATGATATACTAAGGAAGCTGGAGAAAGAGCGAATCAGGCAAGAGATAATCTCCGGCGAGATAGCGAGGAGGCGAATGCTGGAGGAGGAAGTAAGAAGAGAGCTGATGCTGGAGAGAGAACTGGCTTTCCGAAGGAGTTTGGGAGAAAAGTTCTTGCTTGATGAGCAGATGGCAATAGGCTTGAATCCCAGACTCAACGTAATTCCTGCTTATGATACCCGCCCACTTGGGGAACGAATCTCATTTCCGCAAACTGTGCCCCAACTTGCTCAATCTGTGAAACCTGCTGATCCTAAGATTAACATGGAAAAATTGATCATGCTGGTTAGTCTGTTAAGTCAATCTTTTCTTCTTGTTCAATTTAGTTTTCGTCTGCTTCTTTGTGTCTGTGCGATGGAGGATTAACTGCTGACTGAAATTGAAAATGATTTTGTCTTCAATTAACCAACTTCATGTATTCTTAACTTCTGAATTGAATTAGAGCAGTTATAAATGAAGGACAAACACTGCCAGTGACATTCGTCTGTGTGTTTGATTTTCATGACTGCGTTTGGTATAACACTGAAGAGAATCCATATTGTTTAAACCTTTTTCCTTCGCTGCAATTATATGGGCTTAATATGGGTGTAGAGTTTCTATATAGCACTTGGATAATTATAGCTTCCAGGAGAAATTAAACATTGTGTGATCATGTTTGGTCTTGCTAAAATATTTTTAAAGGTCTTGTCGTAGTTCAACTTTTCTAAGCATATACATTTTCATCCTTGCCATGAGTTGTAAAATTGAGAATTTCAGAAAGAAGGGATATTACATCTTCTAAAACTTAAGAGAATTATATGCTGCTAAGCGGAATAAATATCTTGTGGTTTCTCTGTTTCGCAACTTCATTCCATAGTTGCTTGGCTGAATTTCTTTGGTAATACCGTTTTTTTCATCGCTGAATTTGGATGGTGATGGCTTAGCTTCCAAGGGAATCATGGCTAATCAGTGTGTTCATGTCCTACTTTTATTCACTGAAGAACATATAGATCATTTAGTGGTGAATGTTGAAGCACTTACCGATCGGTGGACTGTTAGTTACAACACACGAGTTGCTTGCATGTTATGTCTGGATATCTTATTGCAGGCTCAGCCAAGCCCAGAAATGTATAGACAAAAGCGGAAAGCTGTGAAACAAGATGCTGATGATGATGCAGAGCATTGTCCAGTTGTGAACAAAAAACCGAAGGATGACTGGAGCTGTGAACTATGTAGTGTGCGTGTCACAAGTGAGAAAGCTTTCAACGAACACCTTCAAGGTAAAAAGCACAAGGCTAGGGAATCTGCAAAAAAGAGAATGCAGAAGACCGATACGAATGCTGGCTCATCATCAACATCAAAGAACGTCGAACACTCTCCGAAACCTATTGAAACTACTGTGACCGCTACAACTTCAGATTTGGAAGCCGATGTTCAAGCTCAACCTGAAGTGACAAGGGTAGGCAAAGATGTTGTGGAAGTCAAAACCAAAGATGAGGAGGTTGTGGTGAAGATCCAAAGTACACAAGATGCAGAAAAGCAAAAGGGGACTGAGGCAGAGCAGGCAAGGATACCAGACGCAGTGAACAAGAGATACAAGTTTTGGTGTGACCTCTGCCATGTTGGATCTTTCTCTCCTGTGGTGATGGAGAACCACAGGTTGGGAAGAAAGCACACCAACCGATTAAAGAGATTGCAGCGAAACGCTGACAGTGCTCCTTCCACATCTGCAGTTCCAAAAGCTACTCCGTCATTGACAAAAGATGCAGATGGTCGTCCGCATGATGATTGTGTGGTGGTGGAAGGTTTCCTAAACGGTAAATCCTGTCTGGCAGCATAATTTAGAGATTGTAAAGTTGTGGGAGAACTAGGATTGCACAAAAATGTTACAAATCCTGTAACTGCTAGCATATCATGTATACTTAGTGTTAGTTGACTTAATCAGACATTTTATATTTCTTAGGCTCTACTCCAAGTGAGATATGTAACCTGTTATCATCTAATAGATAGCGGCTGGATTAATTAAAAAGCCTATTAACTGCAATTCTGGGCTTCACTTTGATTTCTCTTGCATGATTTCCGCAGAAAACAAAAATCCATGTGATCACAAGGAGTTAGCACCCTTGGCTTAAGAATTGACGACATGGAATTTTGTATGAATAAATGAATTATGATATTCACATGTGTAGGCATGGATTGCCCATGAGTTTAGCCGAAAATTGTTTTATATCCTTAGGAACCTTGATCCGATCTCAAGGCGACTTTATCATGCAAACAACACGAAATCAAATTCTGTAGTTTGCACGCAACACAATACTTCGGTCAATTTTGCTGACGCGAGAGACCCTGCCGACCATTTCATGATTACGACACAACCAGATTGGAGAATCTTGCGTCTCATAATTACACAGAAACTAAAGAGATGATGCCAATGCTGAGTTTCCAAGAAAACTCGTTGGAAAATAATATAGGCAACGAACCGTCCCCAACCTCAAACTTCTGGCCTAGAAAATTAGTAGTAAGACGCAAGAAAGTATACATAAAACGGCAAATCAGAGAGTGAAGGCGTGATTCCCAAGCAGAAATTTCCCATTTCACCTTATATATGTATTGAACATTGAACATGTGATACTATATATTTATCTTTACAGGAGACATAAAAACTAGAATGATTAGTAAAATGTAAAAAAAAAAAAAAAAAAAAAAAGGAGGAAAAAGCCCGCTGCTACATCAAAGGCTCCCTACAAATTCCAAAAGGGCAGGAATTTTTGCCTAATGCCCTGGATCAAATTAAACCCTCAGAGCCACCTGATCTTGCCATGTTATCTTCCTCTTCCCGGCCCTGTTTGATCCATCCCCGACATTTCTGCAGATCGATAACTTGATGTCGTCATCGCTTAACATTCTCAATGTGCTTTTCCTTGGTTCATCAATCTTCATTGGCTCAACACTACCCTGCATTTCCTCCTCTTCTCTCTGCAAAACAGATAGAATCTATAAGCCTCACTAAAATGAAACACAGACACCACATGATATCAAAACCAGCATGTACAATTAATTACCGAAATCTGGTTCAAGTCAAAAAATGGAGTAATACTCTTCTTTGTAGCTTCCTTCCCACTGTGAATCCTATCCATCTGATTCAAGTCAAGCATTGGAGCAGAGCCGTGAAGAGAGGCATCCTTTCCACTAGAAGTCCTAGCATTCTGGTTTAAATCAAACGTAGGAGCAGGTTTCTGCAGTGTGACCTCAATCCCATTTGGAATCCTTTCTTTCAGGTTCGAATAAGGAGGAATAGGAGGGCGTAATGCGAGGTCCTTCTTACTGTAATTCCTTCCCTTCGAGGTAGTCGGGCCACGGGTTTTAACCTTTTGTAACTGTGCATGGGTCTTGACCCTTTGTAACTCTGGAGCATCTTGCTTTGGTTGAGGCTTTGACACAGGGTTTTGCTTCAAGTATTGGTATCGTCGCCTCAAGAACCTGCAATTTCAAGAGAATTAACATAAGGTAAGCACACAAACTCTACATAGATAACAAACCTGCAATCCCACATTAAAAAAGACATAAATAGCAGCTAATCTCATGAGAACATACCCGACTTCAGCTGACAATATCAACTTTTTTTGCTTCATAATCTCCAATTTCCTTCTTGTGTCATGTGTCTCCTGCATATATTTAATAGTAATACCATTAGTTCAATAGTTCAATTCAATTTCCTTCCAAGTCGCTATCATGAAGCCCGATTCTTAACAGAGTTAACCGATAAAACAAAAATATTTTACAATACTAGAAGGAAAAACACTTGACAGCTAAACACAGTAACTATTCTTTTGACAAAGCTTGTTTGCAGTGTGAGTCCAAATAAATTAGGAGACTAGCAATAGAAATAGTATGGCAGCTGATCACTATCTATCCTAGAACCAAAACTTTTAAGGCCTGAATTTAAGTTCAACAGTCTCAAGTAAAGTTTAGACAAAACTACATAACAGATCCAATTAACTTGGAAATTCTGAAATTTCATACTTCAACAGGGAAATTTCTTTAAAAAACCAATCTCAGATTAGAAAAATTGATCTAACTGACTGTCTCATGATCAAAAACCATTCTAGCTCCAACAGCACAGGGATTTCAGAGAGAAACTCTTCTTTTATTTGGTGGTACAGAAACTAGAAAATCTTAAAACGAAAGCATAGAAATATAATAGGCAGAGGAATTTTTTCCAGCTTTTTCCCACCAGATCGAAACATAATTCGTTGTTTCAAGATTATAGGTAAGTAATTTCTCCGAAGGAGAAAAAAACGATCAAGTAAATTAGAACAATAGATCCATACATCGTTATCTCTAACAAATCCTCAATTTTCCGGACGACAAACAACATAGCGCCAGAGTCATCAAAATCCACAAAAATTTGAAACAAACCATCAGATCTAACGAAAACCTAAAGAAATTCTTGAATCTTCAAAAACCGGACGAAATATTTACCATCAGCAACTCTTCATAGTCCTGCAAGAGGCTCTGATGCCTAAGCCTTGCCCTTTGATCTTCGTACGAAGCGTATGGAGACTCCATGGGAACAACCCCTTTCATCTTCTTCATCGTCAGATCAGCAAGGTATCACCGCAACACACGAAGAATAAAAGGGAAGGGGATAAACGAGGGAGAACACAAGAGGGGAAGAAGGCGAGAGATAACAAGAAAGAAAAGAGACCAAAGAAAGAAGCAATGAATAAGAGAGAGAGAAAGAGAGAGACAAGGAAGGGGGTAGGAAGAAGGTTCTCGCTTTCCCTGTTTTCTCTGTGAAAACTCTGACCAAGACAAAGGAACCCAAAAAGCCCACATAACTCGGTGAAAAAAAATTGTTCTTTAGAGAGACAGTGATGAAGATGGGATTTTTTGGGGGCTTGCAGAAGGGTATTTCGGGGAAACATGGCTTGTGAAGAGAGAGAGAGAAAGAGAAAGATTGGTCTTGGTTGGAGTAGTAGTAAGGTGGGTTTGGTTGGAGGACATTCGAAGACATCTATATCTATCCATCTAACCTCCCCTTTTCTTCCTTTCCCATTCTTTCTTTTTTGTTTTTCCTTCTACATAAATTTTGGTCCAGCTGGGCCATTGATGAGAGAGAGAGAGAGTTACATATAGAAAGTTGGACTCTTTGGCCTTTGATGTGGGGAGATGCGTGGAGTTTCCAAGTTTCTTCTTTCATTCTATTTGTTGTTGGTATCTTCTGCATAGAGAGAGAAAGCAGTAAGAAAGGGTCAGACAGGGGGAAGAGAGAGAAAGAGGGGCATTGAAGGTAATGGAATTATGGGATGATGCTGTTCCTCTGGGAGATGCTGTGCCCTGTTTGCAGCAGTTGATGTTGTTGCTGGTGGGTAGCCCCTTGTTTTTAGGCTTTGGCTCAGGGATTTCAGTTTTTTTTTTTTGGGAAGACAAAAAGAACAGTCTTTTTTTTTTTTTATATTTAATTTAGGGTTTCTGCGATGGTGGCGTTTATGAACTCCACAGAGACAGAAGCACCAGACAGACATGGCCTTTTCTTTTTTCGGTTTTCCCTTCTAGTTATCAGCACAGAGTCAAATGCTTGATGTGATGCGTTTCCCCTCTTGCCCTTCCTTGTAGGGTTTCCTTTGAATCCGAGATTGCTTCTTTTGTTGGGTGTCTGTTTTCTACTTTCACCTTCCTGAATCATGAATGGAGAAAAATCCCCAATACGACTTTTGGCATGATGAAAAGGGTAAAAGCGAGAAAGACTCGTTCGTCTCTTCTAGGCTTCCAACCAGGAACACAGAGACCCGTGATTCAGTGGGAATATTGAGAGAAAAGAAGGACATTCTTGTCATTCCACAACGCATGATGGGGAAAATATATTTACTTAATGGTTTGGTTTGGTTATATTTCGGGTGTGTTTGGCAAGCACCCCAAACCATGGTTTTAGGACCCAAACCATGGTTTGAAAAAATGTTAGCCAAACACCCTTTAAAAAATCAAAACCATGGTTTGGGTTCAGAACTATGGTTTTGAGAAAAGCAGAAATTTTTACTTGTAGAGGAAAAAGGGGAGAGTGTGAGAGCCTATAAGATATGTATCTTGTTGTTTTTTTATAAACATATTTTTGATAAATATATTTAATTTATATCGGATAAATAAGATACAGATTAATATTATTAATTATATATCGATATATTATTAATATATGTTAATAAAAATATATTATTAACAATTTTATTCCTTCAAATTAAAATATATCATAAAATATATTTTTCTATAATTATCATATTAATTTATGCCAATTTGTATATATAAAAAGTACTTCTAATAACAATTATCCAAACACTCACACTTCTCAAAATCACTTTTTCACAAAATCTATTCTTTCCAAAATCTATTTTTTCAGAATCTATTCTCCAGAAGTTATTCTCCAAACCATGGTTTGATTTCATCTAAACATACCCTTCATCTTTCTGGAATGGGAATGGAAAGATGCCGCCCAGCACCTACTTTCCCGGACTCCGTGTGACACCGCCATTCCTGTAGACCGCAGTGCCCTGGTGGTATCCGTCCCTGAGGAGAAATGAGTTGTTTATTCTTTAGGGTTACTTACATCTAATATTTAAAATATTTTAAAATATATTTAATATTTTAAAATATTTTATGATGTATTCAGTATTTAAAATATTTTTTTAAAAATATGCTTGGTATCGTGAAATATTTTTTTGAGGTATTCAATACCTTAAAAAAATTTTAGGTGCTTATTATTTTTTGATGCATCTAGTATCAAGGAGAAAAAAAATTTCAGGATGTTAGATGTTCCTAAAAAATATTTTGCAAGAATCACAATCAAATTCTAAGGAAAAGAAATAACTACCAAAAGATTTAATAACAATTTGAGCAGCTCATAATGACAATTTTTAAAGTAGAAAATAACAACTTTTAGAACTTGTTTTGTAATTTTTTTCTTTCTTTGAGATCTTATTATAATTCTCTCAAATATTTTTAGGTACTCAATATACTGCAAAATACTTTAAGATATTAAATGCACATGAAAAAATTTGAAATGCTAGATACACCTTAACTTTATTATTTATTTAAAACAGTAAAAAAATTTCTTCCCCCTTTCTGGGGTAACTCAAAGTTTAACTATTTGCTGTTTGTTCAGCGTCAAGATGGAAATCCCAAATAGTACTTATTTGTGAAATTTGAAATAAATTTTTTTCGACTTATTTCTCATTCTCTAAATAGAATTGCATCATCATTCCAAACAAACCTTCCATACATTTGAAAAACCATAAATATATTGCCTCCGGTCCTAATTTACAAACCAGTTACAAATAAGATATTATAATTACGAGGAAAAGTAATATATTTTATAAAAGTTAAGAATTGAGCTGCACTAAATTATTCTTTTAGTTTTAAATATAAAATCTATTTTATAATATAAATACACTATAAAATAAATATTATATTTAAGACAAAAAGAATAATAATATATGGTGATTGGTAATACTTTTTTTGTTTTATTTAAAGGCTAAGGTGCGCTCAGTACCCTGAACTATTTACCCAGATGCGTCCAGTGGCCTAAAATAATTTTGGGTGCGTCCAGTATCCTAAACTAATTAAAATGATGCGTCCATATCCCAGGCTAACAGAAATGTTATGTTTAACTGTTACTTTCCTGACTCATCTTAAAGTTGACCCCATATATTCTAAATGGTGGACATATGGACATTTGATATGTATTATTCTTACTCAAAATTGAATTTATTTCCTTCCTCTTCTTCTAAATAAATTGACTTTTGAATAAGAATAATACACATCGGGTGTCCATGTGTCTACCATGTAGAATATCTGGGGTCAACTTTAAGCTGAGTCAGGAAAGTAACAGTTAAACATAACATTTCTGTTAGCCTGGGATATGGACTCACCATTTTAATTAGTTTAGGACACTGGATACACTCAAAATTACTTTAAACCAGTAGACGCACCTAGGTAAATAGTTCAGGGTGCTGGGCGCACCTTAACCCTTTATTTAAAATGAGACGTCCAATGAATGCGCACATCTAGCTTGAAACGTGGCATGTTTATATCAGTACTCCGCGGCTGGCTCTTCCTTTTCTGGGTTCCCATTCCCCACTCATCTAGGTTAAAACGCAGTCGTTTAGCCGCGGATTTTTGGGGGGGGGGTTGAGGGGCAACAGATGGAAGCCAGACATCTTTTCGAAAATTTGAAAAATAAAATTCTCATTAAAAAAGCTATTAGTGTGAAGGACAAAAAAAATTTACCCTCAGGGGAAAAATAAAAAATAAAAACTTATACACAGAAAGTATTAGTATTTGCGAAAATATGCAGGTTATTAATACTCTGATTTAGATACATTTTGCTAATAAAATTTCTAACGGGTAATTTTTTCCAATTTCTCTTTTCCTTCCTTTTTTTTTTTCATTCCAAAATAAATGGTACTCGTATTCATACTACTTTATTATTTGTATCACATTCTTTCATACCAAGAAACACATTAAATTGATAAATGTTTGTCCCTATTAAAGAAAGAGTATTAAAAAAATATGTTATATATTTTCTCTCATATTTTTTGCTTACATACAAAATATCAAAACATAAAATTAAAAAGACTAAATGGACTCTCGTTAAACCTCTTACGTTATCTCCTACAATCTCTCCCACATCTTATTTTGAAAATAATATAAATTTTATTTTCCACCAAAATTAAAACCGTTAATCATCCCAGGATTTTTTTGAACTTTTATTTTCCGTTAACATCCACATAATCATATCATTTAATTATAAACATACATGAATTTATCCATTTATATCACAAAGTTCTTTTTTTTGTATTTATACCATCTAATATGAAATAAACTCTATTCACCAAAACGAAAAATTAAACACATTTTATATCTTATCAAAACAAGTTGTGTAGATTCAAGTTAAGAAAACAACATGTTACATAGATGATGCTAAAAATTGAAACATCCTAATGTAGATCTTATCAAATTATGAGAAATAAGTTATGTTATTTTTATAATTTATAGTTTATAAATAGATGGTGTGCTTTGTTAGCTGGAGTTTTATATGTGTATATGTATTATAAGACCCACTCCTTAAAATAATTTGACAAGATTGAACCATTTTTTAGTTTCCAAAAACAAAAACCATCTAATTCCCACACACATATAAAAAAATAGTAAACACTAAAAGAAATTAAGAAAGATGAGAAAAAATTGTAAAATAAAAATAAATTATAAAAATTTCTTTGAATTGCTTAACATTGTGTGTTTTTAATTATATATAACCTTCTTTAAATATACATATAATAAATTATAAAGATGTCGAGTTTTATTAAAATTATATAATTTTAATTTTCAATTAAAGGTTAGATTGATTTTAAAAATAAAATTATAATTTTGCAATGTGTATGTTATTATTTGAATAGATATTTATGTAATTTATTAAACCAATATATTTATGTAAGTTATCAAAATTGGGAGAAATTCCATTTATTTTAGTAAAATTTTAAAATTCATACTAATTTTGAAATCGAATGTGAGAAAAAATATAAGAGTTTTAATTAGGGTAATTCAGTATTTTTAATTCTAATTTTCTCCTTTTTCTCTTGCAAACAAAAATACAGCGGTATACATGAGATAATTCATAATTCTTGACCCCTTTGCTATATTATCCAATTTTTTATTGTCGAAGGAAAAGGCCACATTACCCCTGATTTCTGTGGAGAAGTATGGCTTCTGATTTTGGGAAGGACCGAAAGAAGCACGAGGAAGTAGGAACAGGAACAGCGAGGTTGATTTCCGGCAGAGACCTGGGAAACAGGGAAGGCATTTTAGAGAAGACGTAGGGGCAATCTCGTAAATGTGTCCACCCCCAAATCACGTGCGTGACCATCCACCTCACAAGTCTGCAAGTCACCAGTCACCACCCACCTATGGAATTGGATCCTAAGCTTATCATGTCAACATTATGGCAGGGCAGTTCATGTTTGCAAAAACCAATGTTTTCAATTTTTAATTTGATATTTATGGATTTTTCTCTCCATATTAAATTATTTTATTTTATTTTATTAGCACAATTAGTTTTTGTATATGATCTAATAATATTAATATAGTAAAATAATAGAGACTAATGGTAAATAATAGAGATTAATGGTGTTAAAAGAGTAAAATTAAAAGATTTAATAAGAAGAAAAAATAAATAGGTATCAAATTAAAAATTGAATGAAAAAAACTATAGGTACCTTAAGAATGATTTTCCCATTGTTTAACGGTATTTTCTTCAGTGAGAAACGGTATTTTTTTTTAGTATTTTGTTTGTAGCATTTTTTTAAAATTTTAATAGATATAAAATGTAAAATAGAGTCATAGAGATAGTTTCTTAACTTCTATTTTTTAAAAAAAATATAGAGTTTTAAGTTTAAAAATTGAAAGATAAAGCGAAAATCCAAAATCTAATGCATGAAAGAGCAACTGTGTATTTGAATTTATGTTGACAAAAATATTAAAATTATGATTTTAATACAACAAATAATTACTTGATTTCATTAAAATTATGATTTGATATAATTTTTAAGGGGTAATACAAACTTTGGTCCTTTAAGTTTATCTTTGTTTTTGTTTTAATCCCTCAAATTTTAAATTATATGTTTTGGTTCCTCGAGTTTCTTTTCATTTATAATATTGGTCCTTATAATCCAATAAAAATTTAAACCATTTTGACCCTTTTAGGAATCAAAACCTGTAATTTGAAATTTAAGGGACCAAAACCAATATGAGGACAAATTTAGAGAACTAAAGATTATATTAACCCAATTATTAATGTAAACCTCAAGACACTCAAATCTAAATAAATAAGGTATTGAAAAGCATACTAGCTGTTAAATCAGTTGACTAAGAGTTACTCTTCTAATCCTATTTATAGGGTAAAGAGAGAAAACATTTTTTGGTTCTATTCATAAGACATTGAAAGAAATTTTTTATATGAATGTTTAATTTTACCCTTTGTTTATTATTGAATATTAAATGAGGGTTAATGAAGCTTAATGTTTTTCTTAATCTGTATAAAACATGTTAAAAGTTATTTATAAATAAGATTAGAGGAGTAGTAATTTTTTTGGTTACTAGTTGTTAAATTAGTTGCCTAAGAGTAGGGGTGTTTATGGGCAGGGCTGGGCGGGGCATGCCCCCTGCCCGATGCCTAGCCTGAAAAATAAGCGGGCTGCATTTTGCGGTCCGCTGCCCTACCCTGCCCTGCCCACAGAAGCCCTAATCATTTTCGGGTTGGGCAATAACGGGCTGGGCAGGGCGGGCTTTCAAGCCCAAATAGTGATATCTTGGTAAAAAATTTTTAGTTAAAGTAAGGGTATCTTATAACAACTATAAAAGAAATAAATACTTGAATAAACAATAAATTCAATGAATCAATAACTTCGATTTGTCTTAAATTGATATATCTTTTAATATAACACTAAAGTGAACTTGCTTTTGCATCTTTGCAAGACAACTAACAATAAAAACAAACTAAAAGATACTAAACCAGATTAAAAAAAATTAAAAAGATACTAAGAAGGAAGAATTACGCATACCACTAAATATATTTATGGCAAATGAAAGGGGAGAATAATATATATTATTATATATTATATATCATTATAAGTATTTCTGGCAAAAAAAAGAATTATAAATATATATATCACGGGCAGGGCAGCATACCGTGCCCGCAGCCCAGCCCTACCCATAATATGCCCAGCCCAAAAATGCCCAGTTTTCTTTGGGCAGTTTTTTTTTTCGGGGTTGGACAAGGCCTTTTTTTTGCGGGCTCGGGCAGGCATATCGGGCTTGATGAACACCCTTATCTAAGAGTTAGGTTTTTTTTTTTTATATATATCGATAACAATAACTAATCTTCTTATATCGCAGATTTTTTGAAAGAGTTTTAGTACTAGTCTTAATACTCTACCTATACACACTACTAATAAGCATTGAACTCCTAACTGAATGCTTAGAAGTTAGTAATTTTATTATAACTGAATTGAAGTGAATTCAATAATGATCAAAATAGTATAATGTAACTTTTAACAAAGTGCTACTTTTTTTAACCCAAAGCAACATCTTTTCAAATTTAACAACATAAAAAAAAAAGTATAAAACCCAAATTTGTTGGTATACAAAAATTTAAGTGAGTTGAGTCTCAAAGCTCACAAAGATTAGCGTATGTTTTTAGGCATAAAAAATACTTATAAAGATACTTATAGATTTTTTGCTAATAAAATTTTCATATCAGCAACACGATTTGAATTTATGATCTTATAAGTTATAAACTGACTTCTTACCGACCAAATTAACCCATTCAAAACTATTTTGGCTATGTTTGGATTACAGTTGGAAACAACAAAAGCTCCTAGGAAAATGTAAAACTAAAGTTTGCAACTGAGTTGGATACAAATGGTTGTTTGGCTGGGGCTAAAATCCTAACTAACTTCTGGCCTTCAACCCCATTTGGACTCAAAGAAGAAAAATCCTGACTTTTCAAACTACAGTTTCAAACGGTGATTATTAAAAATGAGCATCCCAGATTTACCCTTATATTTTTCCTTATGCGTCATCTCCTTCGTTAGCATAATGAGCTTTTATTCAGACTAAACGAATTTTAATTTATATTCATGTTTGTCCATTATATATATTTAATTAATTATCTACAATGTCTTTTCAAATTTATCTACAATGTGTTTTTAAATTTTTCTCCGTAACAAATATTTTAATTTTATAATTTCACAAATAAACTATTTATATTTTATCATAACAATTTTACGTATTTTTTAAACTATTATCACATTAAAAATGTAAATTTCAAACACTACTATTCAATAAAGTCAATGCTATTTTCAGTCATTTTATAACTAAACAAACTTTTCTATTAATTATTCAAACAACTTTTAATTTTTTTAACTGATTTTTTATAAGTACCTATCTAAACATAAATTATATTACACAAATTGAGTTTTACTCTAATTTCAATTACAAAAATCAGTTAGAGTAGAAATCAGTCTAGCACCAATTCAAACACATTTTTTGCCTCTCGTGGCCGAGCAAACTGAATTGAAGTGGCTTGTGTTGTGCAAGCAGGTGAGGTGAAGTACTATGACCGCGCAAAGTACAAACTACAAAGTAAAGGTAAGAATTTTAACAAAAGAAACTTAAAATCAGTAACTTTTAAATTAGGTTTAATAACAACATTTTAATATATTTTGACAATACTAAATTTGTAAGTAGTAACATATTTTTATAAAAAAAATTATTTAAGATTTAGTAATTAAAAAAAAAATTTTTTGTGGGATTCTCACAGGTAAGAGTTGCAAGGAAGCCTCTTAAGCTAAAAATAAAAAATAAAATAAACTTAAAATAAAAAAGCTACTGAGGGACAGAGGTCCATGTAGCGTGTCTCCTAGGATTTGGAGTTTATTATAGCCATAGGTAACAATTTTGTCGGTGACATACAATTCCCCCTTCTTCCTTTTCCTTTTCTTTTATTTCTGATTTGTGCGTGTCATCGATAAATACTTACGGCCTGAAATAATAAATGAGATCGAATTTACAACGTTGTACTTATAAAAAATTTTGTGTCATCGGACTATAAAGTTATTTTATAACTCTTTCTTTACTTTATGGTCTGTCGTGTATCTGTGTGCAAGAAAGAGAAGTAATGTTTGAGGGAAGAGGTGGAAGCGGTGGAGCTTGTGAACAAGGACGTGCGGGTTTGGTTATTGCTCACTCGCAAGTGATAGTGATGGCCTCTCTCTTTTGAGGAATGCCAAGGGCCACTCTATCTCCCTCCACAGCTCCTCAAATAGCTCCCTCCCTCCCTCTCTTTCTGAAGTACCCCACATATATAACACTACTTTCAATTTTTAATATACCAATTAGATTTATCCTAAATATAAAACTTTGATCCACTTGTCTCTCAAATTTATAATATTTTAAAAAATATTCTTACTTCTATAAGGAGTTCCTACTAAAAAATAGTTCAAATACATATAATTACAAAGGACAGTTTAGAAAAATCAATATATATTTATTACAATTAAGTAACTTAATTAGTTTCTTTAATATTCTTAAATTAATTATTTAGTTCTTATATTTAGGATGATCTAAATATACTTCTGGCTGCCGAAGTGTGCAGGATCTAGCCAAAATTTGACAAATTTTAATTATTTTAAAAGTTATTTTTCTCAATTCTGGCGGGGTAAGGTGAAGGAGTATATGCAGAGTAATATTGGGCTGGGCCTAGAGGATGAGTGCTACGGTTTGAAATAGCAATTTTTATAAAAACAAGTCACAGGAATTTTCATTCTCACGACTTGTCATTATAAACTGTTAAGATTATTATTGAGATTTTTTGATAATTATTTCTCTTTTGTGAGGCTTGATTGTAATTTCTCCTTTTTATATTATCTCAGACCTACCTCCGGAGTCTACATCTATTGGGAAATATTATAACAATTATGAATTAAATTGATGAACTAAAGAGCAACTAATTTTCTAAACGAGATGAGTCTAGTAAAAAAAAAAGTTAATTTCATAATATAACAAATTAAGATTCAAATCTCACGATACCCACATTAAGAGCAACCAATTGATCGTTATGCCCCGGGTTTAAATTTTTTTTTTTTAAAAAAGGAAAAACAAAGTGAATTGGTTTGTGCGCCTCACTTTTCAATTTCATCTTTTTTTTTTCGCTAAAGCATAGGTATCTTTTTATTAAAGACAATCCTATTCGAGGTACTGTTGGCCACTAAATGTGGACACCTATTCAATTTTCATCCTTTATTCTCACTGTTGGGGTAACAGTTTCGGTTCATTAATACCTTGATTTTGTTTTTCTTTTATACTATGTACGCAACTAAATATAAAGGCTATATAAGTAGTTCACTTTAATCTTAAATACAAAAGTATCAATCCACTTCGCCTTTCAAATTTTACAATTTTTTGCTCAAAACATCCCTAGCGATTGAACGTATTAAAAGGGCTCTTAATCAAGGTAGTTTCAATATACATAATTAAAGAAGATAATTTAGAAAAATCAAGACATATTTGTTACAAATAACCAATTAATTAATTTTTTTAATATTTATAAATTAGTTATTTAACTTTTACATTAAAGGCCATAGTTGGTGTTTGATTTATACCTCACCGGCTTCTTGTGTTTTTATAATGATCAGCGAATAAGGAGTGGTCAACACTTTTTGTTGTATACCTCCTATTGCCCCATTCATGGGATGTGGCAACCAACTAAATGCCTTCTGATGCCATGGGAGGGAGAAAATATATTACTGTGGTACAGATCTCACTGCAGTAATGAATACTATGGTGCTCATTGCTGTAATGTGTAATGTGCACCAAAACTGATTCCTATTAGTCATGGATATTTTCTCTGTCTGGCAGCAGGGTAAACAATCAAAGGAAGTGTATTTTTCCTTGAAATTTCTCCCGTGGTTTTCTAGTTGTTAGCATCAGATCCCTTCATTAACCGTCAAGCTTTCATGCATTACCAGTAGTCCCCGCAGGAGCACCAACCATTGGAGAACTGGTGGAATCTACTGCTATCTCTAACAATTATGATTCTCCCAGTAACTTTAGATATGAACTTGATAGCAGAATGGCAATCAGCACAAACTCTTAAATTCTTCTTCACAATAATTGGCTTCCCAATTGGCATACTAACTAGCGAAAAAGCCACGGCAATTCTCTCACTGTGATGATGAAGATGCTTCTCTTTCAAAGCCTCGTCCATGTCAACTAGAACTAATTCTGTCTGAGGAACATATCCGGCATTCTTTATTTGATCAAGAAGACTGTCAAGCTTTTCATAAATTTCTTTCTTTTGAGGATGAGACCAGTCTTCGGCCCCAAATATATGGGTTTTGTTTTGGATATCAACCCAGCTATAACCTGGCAATTTCTTTATGTTTTCGTCTCTCATCATCTTCCTTAAACTTCTAACATCTTCCCATTGTCCTTCCTTGGCATAAATATTTGACAGCAAAACATGAGTTCCACTATTTTCAGGTTCAAGCTTCACCAGTTTTTCTGCTGCAATTTTACCTCTTTCCTTATCACCATGGATTTTGCAAGCCCCGAGTAAAGAACACCATCCAAAAGCATTTGGCTCAAACGGCATGTTATTTATAAAATCTTCAGCTTCTTTGAGCTTTCCAGCTCGACCAAGTAGATCAATAACACAACTATAATGCTCTTCTCTGGGCATAACCCCATAAATCTTGTCCATGGAATGAAAGAAGTTTAACCCCTCTTCTACCATTCCTGTATGACTGCATCCTATTAAAAGACTCACAAATGTTATTGCATTCGGTTTAATCCCTTTTTCGATCATCTGCTGAAAAGTTTCAATGGCATTTCTTCCTAAACCATGTTGTGCAAAAGCTCCCAACAATGAGTTCCATGCTATATTATTTGGGTTCTCGATCTCCTCAAACACTTGGGTGGAGTGATCAAACAACCCACATTTTCCATACATATCAACAAGAGTTGAAGCAACATAAGGATCTCTATCAAAGTTAGATTTCACAACTTGGCCATGAAGCTGGATTCCATGCTCTAATGCTGCTTGGTTAGCACAGGCGTTTACTAAGCTAGAGAAAGTAAATTCATTAGGTTCAATTCCTTGCCTCCGTAAGTCAACAAAAGTACTTAAAGCATTTTCGATTTGGCCCATCTCTACATATCCATCAATTAGAGCAGTATACGACACTATATTCCTGCACTGTGAATCAGTTTGGAAGATTTTTGAAGCACTTTCCATGTCTCGCGACTTTGAATACATGTCTATGAGAGCATTTACTAGAATAGTGTCCGATTCAAATCCCAACTTCACAATAGTTGAGTGGATGGACTTCCCAAGATCAGAAGACTTTAGTGATCTGCAAGCACTCAAAGTGCTACAAAGCACATGCTGATCAATCAAAATATCATCACCGGTCATCTTCTTATAAGAGATTAACGCTTCCTCACAATCTCCATTCTTTACATAGCCATCAATCAAAGAAGTCCACAATACCTGATCCTTGAAAGGCATCTCATTGAAAACATTACAGGCATCATACATCATCCCACACTTCGAGTACATGTCTGCCAAATTACTCCCCACAAATATTTCGTTGCTAAAACCACACTTCATAGCGAGACTATGCATCTGCGTCCCAAGCTCAATCGACTCAAGAGAGACGCAAGCTCGAAGAACACTTGAAAATGCAAATTGGGTCAGTGCTTTTCCAGCGTTCCTCATCAGACAAAAAGTACTCAGAGCCTCCCGAAACCTCGAATTCTGAGAAAATCCGGTAATCATTGCTGTCCAAGAAACCACGTTTCTTTGTGGCATTTTGTCGAACAGTTTGATGGCGTGGCCAAGTTCTCCGCATCTTGAGTACATGTTGATTAGGTGATTGGTAAGGAACGTGCACAGTGGATAAACACATCGTATAAGCTGAGCATGCAACTGTTTTCCTTTGTTTAACTCTCTCGTCTGTGCATAGCTTTGAATAATTTGAGCCACCGCTGTCGTGTCCTTCAGCTTGTTCCTCCCCAGAACAGCGTACAAACTATGACTGCTCATGAATTTGTTTCACCTGGACCATCAAGCCTGTAATATGTAATGGCATCTGAGAACAAGTGGTTACTCGCTGTTATTAACAAATATCCTGATGCATCTTTTAAATGGGGCAAAAAAGAAACGGGGAGAAGTTGGGCTGAACATTCGGTCAAGGTAGCACCTCCGTACCGCCATGGAGACTTCAGACGATAGTGAAGCTTCGGCTCTCGAGAGCTCGAGCTCGAGAGGCTGAGAGCCCAATCGTCTCTGGCTTTCTGCCGCGCATACTGGAGACGCCGAGACGGAAGACAGGGAGGGGGAGAGGAAAGTTTCACATTAGCGCTTCTATTTCTTATGTTAACGGGCTTCTTTGAAAATCGGGGAAAAAAAATAAAACAAGACGGTGATACTTGTAAAATCGTTAATCAAACCCATTACAAGATTCGGGCCCCAAAAAAAAAAACCCCATTACAAGATTTATGTAAGTTTTGACAACAATTGAATAATAAATGACAATAAATTTTTAAGAGAATATCTTTACAATTTTGCAATTTTTACTGTCTTTTTTCCCCTATTAATAAAGGAAAACCTATTCCCCTGTCTTTTCATATTATACATATACTCCTCCCGGTCCTTAATATAGGGTCCAGTTGTTGAGTTGACTTTGGTTCTAAATATAAGACTTATTTTTCATATTTATTAGTTTTCTCTAAATTACCCCTACGGATACTCTCTTAACCATAATCAAGTAGAAGAGAGAGAGAGAAGTATTAAGAAAGATAATTATAGTGTTTTAGAAAAAACGTGTCACATTTATTATAATTAATTAACTTACCTAACTTTCTTAATCTAATCAAATTAGTTAAATGAGTCTTATATTAAGGATCGGAGGAGTATATTATAATTTTCTTCTCAAGTATGTATTGATATATTTTCTAGTTTTGGTGTTTCTTCCTGTTAGCCCACTCCTATACTGTGTCAGATTCATTTAACAACTGAAGGCATTTTTTTAAAAAAAATAAATTTTCACAAATTCTCACGATGATGACTTGAAAATTAGCAATAGAGAAAATGCCAAATTTAGAGCATTTTGAATGAATTCTCTGTTAATCTGCACTATGAAATTTTTTTAAACTTATATGGCATTTGATTGATATTGATTAGTCATTAGTGATTTCATTTGAACTAGAATAAACCAATCATAACAAGAAATGCATCCATACTAGGTACATTTTTCGAGCGAAACATGTGATATACTTGTAATGTATATTTATAGCCAGACTCAAGTCACGACCCTGCAAATATTGTAGGGCCTGTATGCAAATTAAAATCATATGAAAAAGAAAAATTGGCTACAATGAAGCAATAGTGATTTTTGTTAAATTATACTCCTCCGGTCCTAAATGTAAGACCCTTATACTAGTGTGTATAAGGGTCTTATATTTAGAACCGGAGGAGTACATAATGATTGGTAGAGCCGGTAACGCCCGCACAGGCTGGTCCACAGCAGTGCCGGCCAAAAATGATACGGGCTGAAGTAGCCAAGCCGAGTTGGCAAGCTAGCCCGGTAGGCCGTCTAAATATTTTTTCTAAAAAAATATTATTATTATTTGTATAGGTTGAATTTAGTTTGAAATGTTAAAATTAGACTTGGAACCTTAAACCTGAGTAGTGAGTTGTAATAAAATAATGTAAAGATTAATTTATAATTTAAGAAGATATTTTAGAAAAACTAACATTTTTTCCAAATAATTAATTTAACTTGTTTCTTTTTCCAAAAGAAGTAGATCTTTTATGTGTATATATATAAAGTGCTTAATTACATATGCAATGATATGAATAAGGCAATGTCCATGTAGATTTTGAGGGTTAAAATCCTCCAACTATGTTATATAATATATTGAGAATTGTATGAAATTTTTTTTTTGAAAAAAAAGGCTAGCCCACCAACCCACAGGTTCACTTATGGCAGTGCGGCTGGCATTTTGCCAACTCAAGCCTGCCAAGGCCATGTGTTACCGGCTCTAATTGTTGATCTATTGAAAAAAAAAATTCATTTGGCCGCATGATATTATTCAAGGTTAGATTCAGAACCAGATAGAAGAGATTTCTTGTACTCTAATTTCCTTGCATTTGCCGTTGCCAACCACTATTTTAGCAACACAATATACTATTGCTCGCAATTGGACATTAATTTGAATGAATGACTGCTGTTTTTACCAGGCAAAGCCATTTAATAATTAATAATAAGAACCTTAATTATTTCATGAGCAACATGTCAAGATGTTGGGAGCTTCTTTCCTTCTAAGAATGACTTGAACAGAGTGAGAGCTCTTTTTGGCTGAAACAATGGCACTTCGTGCCCTGCTCCTCGTACTGCTGCAAAAGTTAGTCCATCATAGACCTCTGTCCATCCACCTACCTGTATAAACCCAAAAGTTAGTTCTAAAATTGAATTTATTGTATGGGTTTCAATCAACTTTCAATCAAGTTTGAGAAATATTATTATTACCTGTCCACCAGAGTACCATGGGCACCAACGAGCATTGATCTTGAGCTTGAGACTGTTAAGGGAAAATCTAGTGGCTGTCACTGGAACCACTGAATCTGTATCTCCACTGCAGTATTATAACAAAAGTATTAATTAGTAATGAGATTGAGATTTGAGATTAAATTATATCTCCGGAGTCAACCAAGGAAGACCACTTGGAACATATCAGCAATTCATATATTGCCATATTTTCAATATAGATTCTTAGACAGATTTGATCTGAAAAGAATAAATAGAGGAGCAAGCTAATTATGAACAAATATATTTTATAAAAATGCTGGATGTCAGTTTTGTTGAATAGTGAACCCAACACCCTCATGTTGTTTAAGGTTGAGTTGGTCTTGCATGTGTCAGCTTGTTTGACCGTTGCAAGACCAAGTGCAACTATAAAGTATATTTTTTTCATTAGTAATTGTAATTTTGTTCCAAGAATTTAGTACTTTATCTGTGTGGGTATTTTAACACATTCAAGTTTAACTATAAAGTATGTTTTTTTAGTTATTTTCTTAGTCCATAATATCCCTATAATTTTGTTCTTAGAATAACACTTCTTGTATCTATTCGATTACCCATACATTTAAAATCATTCAACACATGAATTCTAGATATTCTGTACAGAAGAAAACAAAATACAAACAACCCAGGCATCAAGATTTATAAAGGCATCAAAATACTTGGTAAAAACTGCATATTCCATATAATATATATAAAGTGTTTTGCAAGCATAAATGAGGTTCATCCATAACTTCATACTATGCTCTTATGAAAACTCTCCTAGGTATTACTTTACCCTAGTGCGTTTGAACTATACCTGAAAACCCAAATTCTCAAACCAGCTGCAATTAACTCTTTGTAAATGGGCAATACAGAAACTGCAGAGTCCTTCCAGTATTTTAAGAGCACATCACTGTTCCATCAACAAAAGATAAAATATTAAAATATTGATTTCAGAAAAGTCAGGGGAAAAAAAAAAAGAATATCATTATGAATAGAGCACAGTAAAAAAGCAGACCTGCATGCAGTCCATTTGTAAGGAATGCCTGTAACATTAGCATGCATTGCTTTTTGCACTTCAGGAAGATTATAGTATTTCTCTGCATAATTTTCAGTGCATGGGTCATACCCTGAGATCCTATGTAGTATTGTACTCTTGAGCCTCATGTACTGTACAGTACTGTTACTCCTGCATGTTGGGGTATAAATATTGTACTGATCAATGCGTCCAAATTCATGGTTAATTGCATAACGCACAGCATCATCACATATTTTAGATGTTTCCTCTGCCGTGAAATTGCAGTGTTTGAGGAGAGTTTTGTATGATTTATCAGATATCATACAATGGCTCCACCAATATGTCACAGTTCCAATTCCATCATAGTAGTTATCCGTCACAGCATTTCCCACCTGCATTTTTTTGGTTGCATTTAAAATACTAAAACAAAAGAACAAAGAAGTATAACAAAAGCTAGGTAAAAAGTATATTGTTTGGTAACAGAGCAAAGACAATCCCCTCTTTGGAGACTTCTAAAGGTACAGTTCTTCATATCAAAATGCAGTATTCAAGATTTTACTTCCTCAAAATTGAACTTGGATTGGTATGAAGAGATGTCATCCATGAATAAACCGACACCCCTTTGATCAGCTACCCGGAGGCCTAGAGTATATTATGGAAAGAAGAATTGACTTACAATGAAACCCTTGAGATTAATGATCTGGGGATTGGCTTTATTATAATGGTAAATTTTTTGAGCCAACTGGGGAACGTAGTGCCCTAGACAGAAGAAAAAGGAATAAACATGTTAGCTTCCATTTCCACGATAATCAGCTAAAATTTGCAGCATTAGTATGATAAGCTGGTAGTGTCGCTGCTCATTCACCTGCATAACTCTCTCCAGAGATGTAAAAGTCTCTGTACTTATATTGAGGGAATCTTGACATCCATCTGATTAGAAATATTAGAGCATCCTGAGCTGTGTTTCAAATTTGAGAATTCTCATATTAATTACTGGAAGTAAATACAAGGGCTTATGCATATTAATGAAAATGAATGGTGTGAATCCAATAAAATCTCAACATCAAACATGTACCTGTCCTTTCGTCCCCAGTAGTTTTGAGGTCAGAGCTTGTATTTGTGTAGGAGAAACCTACACCAGCAGGCGATTCAAGAAAGAGAATATTTGCTTCTGAAGAAAACAAACAAGAAACTCAACTCTTCAGAAAATTGTCATTCTTAAGGATGGGCTAACGGTTAAAAAGGAAAAAAAAAATTATCTTAATGATGACCGTTACCTCTGTTCCATGAATACTTGTTAAGATACAACGAAGTACCAGTTTTATTTATCCGGAATGGCCCAATTTCCTCTGATGCTCCATATGCTACTGATGAGCAACCCGGCCCTGAACCAGCAAAAAAATTATAGGTTTGGTTAATTTCGTACAAAATGTTAATTCGATTCTTGGATCATAGAAATAATAAAATGCTTCCATATGTTTTGAACACCGTTATGAACCTATGAGAGTGATAAGAACATACATATTTTACATGCAGAAGAGATCATGGGAAGCACATTTTAATTTATACGTCAGAGAAGCGATATCATTGCTGTGGTTGCAGAAATTCATGTCTCTGTATTAATATATAATGTAAAACCTCTAATAACAAATTGTTCAATTTATAAGTCATGAATAATATGACGTATTTCCTAAACTCCATGCAATACAAGACCCAGACAAGTGCTTGGGTAAAAATTAGAAATGCCTCAGCTACTGACAGGACAGAGCAGCCTGTTTATCTGCTTATGAGGCATATAATGATTTTAAGTTAAATAATCTACAATCATATATCAATATATTCCAAATAAAAATAATACAAAAGAATGTAAGTAGAACTTATTCATCCATTTAAAATTTCTTTTTGTTTTATTTCTTTGTAAATATATTATATAAATTTGTTCTTATTATAGTTAAGGAAGATACGGATTTGTAATGATTCTTCATTTCTGACCCGTTTAAAAAGGGGCCAAGAATTGCCAGTTAACAGCCAGCACTATTTTGTGAGGCTGGAGCTGTTTGCTTCTATGTTATTTGAATAAAAACAGCTAGATACGAAAGTTCAAAATTATTCACTGACCTAATTTGAGAAGGCCTACACTCTACATGACAGACCAAAGCAGAAATGCGAGCTAGCCTTGCTAAACTGTTAACATCTACCCCATTGGTTTGAATTGTCAATTTTACAAACAGGTAAAGGGCAAATTTTGCGACCTTGAATTTCACCAACCCATGAATTATTATTACCCTGACAGAGACGACGAACCAAAACAACTTGTTTGCTTCATAGTGGCTCCAATATAAAATTCAAACACTACTAGGACGTAATAAATTGAAACCTCAGAATATCTGGGTCACAGAATTTCGAGTTGCCCTTGCCCCACACAACCATGACGCAGAGAACCAAGCATGTCCACCACCACAAAGTCCGCAGCAACCACCACCACCCCTTTCTGGGCTCTGGGTACGCGTGCTTCGAAGAGAGGAAGAAAACACAGTCACACAGTGGGGAAAAGGAAAGAGAAAGAAAGCATCTTTGTGTAGGGACAAGAGGGGAAAAGGTGGTTGGCTTTGTTCCTGTTTGTTTTAAGCTGAGATGCAAAGCGAGAACAAAGAGAAAAGCGCGGAAAGAAGAGAGAAAAGGGGAAATTGGAGTCACTTGTTGGTTTTTGTTTGTTTTTGTAGGGCAATAGAGATTTGATCCAAAAGGAGGACCAGGACGCCAGGAATAGAAGGGAATAAAAAGCTGAAGGAAGATACAGACAGAGAAAGATCACGAGGACCCATGTGGGTATAATTTCTTTCTCCCTTTCTTTTTCTGATTCAATTCCAGGGAGCTCATAATAATGTACTGTTTGTATATTCAACAGCCAGTTGTCCTCTATTTCCATTTGTTTTCACACGTCTTCCTCAGAATCATAGAGACATAGACAGCGATAAAGCGTATCTTAGCAGGAAACAACGTGTATTTGCTTATGTGCGCGATGGGGGGGCCGACGCGTGCTAAGAGAAAGTCCAATAATATATTCTTGGTCAAAAGCAAGGCCAACCATCTATTTATGGAACATGATGCAAAAACTCGTTGTCTCGTTCGTTTTATTTTCAAAAGATAAGAAAAACAATTGAGATAAATATATTTATTCCTTAAATATAATATCCTTCCATATAATTAATTTCCTAAATGTCAAAGTTTGCAGATAGACTAATAGATCTCACATTAAAAATAAGAACAAGCGTATAAAATAGAAAGACCTATCAAAAATTACACAACTCTTTGTTTTATTTTTGTTAAAATATTAGAAGAAAATATGAGAAACGTTTGAATCTTTTACTTTCCTTCCCACCTAAGCTAGTTTAAGCTAATATTTCTGTTTTATATTAAAATCTAGGAAAATATCGTTTAAAAACAAAGAATAAATTATATATAGTATTTCTAAATATTTATTAAAAATATATAACTATCCTTTAATTTGGAAGAAAAATATTTATTGAACTTAAAAATAAATAAAATGTAAAATTTAAGGGAAAATTAAGAATTAACTCCTAATCATAATCAAAAGACATAAAGAAAGACAAGTATTCAGTCATTAATATTTAACATGTAACAACTATTCAGTTTAGAAAGTAATTAATATTATAAAAATTGTTTCCAAGCCCTCATTTTTACCGTTTCTTTTTAATTATAATCAATTTAAACACTTGCACACACAAACATATTTTTTTCTTAGCACAAAAATCTTTTTATTAGAAGTAATTCTGTTCGAAACACGGTCGAGTATTAAATATGAGTACTTCTCCTACCAGAGAATCGAATCTTAATTCATGACATTAACACTAAAGGGATGTTTGGGTAATAATAAAATCATAGTTACAGAAATGCTTTTACGGTATACGAAATAAATATATGGAGGAGTTTATCTCGATTTGCAGAAAAGTGTTTTTGAAAAGTGATAATGGGATGTTCCAATCACCCCTTAAGTCTAAACTAAAACCTCATTCAATTGGTAACTTAGGCATGACAGGTAGCCCAACCTGCTGCTAGCCTCACATAACAAGATTTCTCCCTAGGTGAACACAAAACATGAAAAAAGGTAAAACCAAAAACGTAGAGACAAGCTGTGGCAGCATCGGAGAAGGAGGAAAACGGAGGTCAGGTAGGAGAAGAAGAATAGGGAGTGTTAATGGGTGGGCTCAAAGTTCGGCAGATGCATGTAAACATAGGTCTCCCCCATAGCCAAACACAAGAAGGCGAATATATACAAAGAGTCAACAATAGTTGGTCACTTGTAATCCTATTCTTTTCAATCATATATCCTATTACATTATTTATTTTCTTAATTACTATTATCATTTATAACACCGTAGTACCCCATCCTCTTCCTCATAGCGTAGTTGTGACTCATCCCTATAACTAATTTCCCTGTTTTTTTTACTGCTCAATCATGAGTCATCACCATACAGAACCTATCTAGTTTACTGCTCAATAAACTCTTGTAATTAATTATATCTACTCACCTCTCTCTATCTTTTGTCTTGTGCACAGTAAAAACCAAAACGTTACCTCAACTTTTAATCACCAGTTATTCTCGGAAATTTGAAATCTTAAACTAAGCACAGCCAGATTCCCACATTCACATGATTTTTTAGTTCTTTTGTAATCGTATATGTATAGATTTCCACATATGATCGTTACAAGATAACCGAGAGAATCAGTTTCAAAAAAGTGACTACTTTCTCATCACATTATCGATTGATCATGAGTATATACTTCCATTTTCTTGGTGAGACTTCGAGAGAATAATACGATGAGTTAGGGAATGTTTAATTTAATTAATTACCTCCATTGAGCCAGAGAACGAGAGGCTTGGTGTGAGGGGAAGTGTAAGCCTCCGTTAACCAGTAGAACAGTGCTCGGCCATGCTCGTCGTTGACGGTGACGTAGCCGGAGAACTGAGAAAAAGGGACCGCCGGCTGTCCGGGGAGGGCGGAGATTCGATCGTCCTCTTGCTCTTTGGGAACACCGCTGTCGTGATAAGCAGCACCGGAGGAAGCAGAAACGGCGTACTGGCCCAGCAATAACAACAAGAAGAAGAAGAGACGCCGAACTTGGCTTTTCAATGCCATTAATGTCAGTGTTGAAAACCTAAGCTAACTAATGTTTAATATAAAAACAAAACACAGAGGGTGATAAAGTTAAGAGTAGTTTTCCGATCTGGGTTTCTCTCTCTGATGTGATATTGTGCCCAGAGAGAGAGAGAGAGAGAGAGAGAGAAGAAGTGAGATTAGAGGGAAGAGAGAGGGTGTGTGTGTGTATATAGAAGGCGGGGATTGAGGATGTTGATGCCTTAATTATACGTTACTCTCATAATACAAAGAGGGTGCTGAGTGCTGACTGGTATTTCTTCATTACTGTGCACAACTGCCTCCAAGTTGGCTTTTTTAATGTGGACCCCCCCTCTCTCTACCTCTATCTCCCTGTGAAGAGAGAGAGAGAGAGAGAGAGATGCATTGGTCCAACATGTGTTTATTCAAACTTCAGATTATACAATCCCATGACCGTCATAAATTCATTAAACTCCTGTATCTTATCTGTATGTCTTTTTTGAGTTATTATTTTTTATAGCATTAATTTTTTTTAAAACATTCAGCTTAATTATATCAAATATCATAATTATATAAAAATATTTTAAAAAATAAAATTTATGTGTATGAGCCCTAATTTCATTATTGTAATGCTCCTTGCAATCTTAACTATCAAATAAAATATACCCCTACGTTCGTATATACAAGCCATTTGGAAGAGAAAAGTTTGTTCTTAAATACTCTTTTAGTCTTATTTATAAGGTAGAGAAAGAAGACATTTTTAGTTCTATTTATAAGGCACTAAGAGAAAGTTTTTGCATAGATACACAATTTTACCCTTCATTTATTATTGTGTTAATTTTGTTTACATGAAATATAACATATATTAAATAGGAATAAAGTTAAAAAAATTTTAAATTTTAAATGAAAATTAATGAAGTTTAAAGTTTTTCTTAGTCTATGTGAAATATGTTGAAAGTGATTTATAAATAGGACTAAAGGAGTATAAGTTACTTGTAAGGTAATTAATGATCTTTTTTCAATTTTACTCTTATTCAACTCAACAAAGAAGATATGTAAGAGAAAATATACAAGATAATACCTCCGGTCCTAATCATAAGAGCCAGTTGACTAATTTGAGGAGATTAATGAAGTAAGTTGAGTTAGTTATTTGTCTTAAATAGGTGTTGTCTTTCCTAAAATATTCTTGCTAATCAAGTGTATTAACTAGAACTATTATTATTAGAATGGCTATTTTGGAAAAAAAAAAGTATAAATATGATAGACAAAATGGATTGGAGTCTTATATTTAAGACTAAAATAAAAGTTAAACAGTGTCTTATATTAAAAACTGGAGGTAGTATTTTTCAACACCTTTTTTTAATAAGGGCAAGTGTAAAATTTTTTATTACTTTAATGCATTTTTTAGTGTGTGAAAATCAAATACAAGTGATTTATATGTACCAACAGAATGCTACTGAAGAGCATCAAAAGTGTCGAGTGAAATTATCTCACAGCAAAACTTGAGAAACTCAAACTACAGTAATAAAAATTATGTTGGAAGAGCTAGTATCTATTTTTTTGGGTCAAACGGATAACTATGTAAGTTTTACAAACGTTCAAATTTAAGTTAGTAGGTAATATTAAAAATAAAATGTTTATTCAAAAAGGGCCAAGATTTATTCCAGTTTTTTCCCTATAGGTGTACATGTGATATGCATCAAAACAGCACTAACAATAGTGGGGAAACAATTGAGAATTTTTAATATATGTATATTAATGTCTTTCATGTATGTATGTATGTGTAAATATTCATAAATATTTTTTCTTGTCATGCAAGAAGCTTTGGATGGAGTCTAATGATAATGATGATAGTAATTGAACATTGCTAGCTTTTTAAAAAGAAATACTTGATATAATTATAGGCAGCCAGCTGTTGGGCGAACGTATATAATTTTGTTGGTTTGCTTGATGCATGGTTAAATTAAAGCTTTTTATAATAAGGCAATGAGGGCATTAATTTTGGAAGCATGCATGTGTTAGTGGCTTTATTATATAGTATATCTCAATGATTATTAATATATTATAAACGGCCGATCTCATATATAGTTGACTAGCTTCATCATCTCCTTTAAATAATATATATACAAATACATAAAATTCGAAGCATTATTTTGTCAAACTGAATGGTTGGCTCCGCCACTCGTGCATTAAGTTTCATGTTGACTTAACTTCCAAACCCAAAATTTTCTTATGTACTTTAATCACTTCACATCTGAATTATGAAATTCTCCGGATTTGTAGGTCATTTAAAAATATATTTAGGGTGCTTCTGTGCGCTCTCAATAGTTTTTTTTAAAAAAAAATTAGAATATGTATTTTTCTATTGGAGGTTTGTTTAAGGTATTATCGATTTTAAACACTGGTTTATCATGTTATAATAAGAAACTGACAATTCTACTAGACTTGACTTCCATTGGTACTTTCTATAATGACTATATATATATATGATGATCCTCTCATATTTCTCTCTATGCATATTTCTCATGATTATAAATTAGTATGATCTATAATTAGTTTAGTGCATAATTTCCTCCCATGATTATAAATTAGTATGATCTATAATTAGTTTAGTGTTATTATTAGCCATGTTCATTGTTAAAATCAAAATGGATGGATGAGACAGAATATTGGAGAGATATATATTTATGGGGAAAGTATGGAGATGATCCGAATTTATGTGTGTAATTCAATTAGTCTCTGCATTAATTAATTAATTATGTTTTGTGCTTTAATTGTTTCTCTCTCATTTTGGAAGGAAGAAAGAAGAAAAGATATTTAGATTCTTTAGAATGGCATCTAAGACATGGATTGGAGATGCTTTTCTTGTCTTTTTTCTTCTATTTTGAGGGCTGAAATTACCCGAATTATTGTTGTCGCCGACAGCAATTAATTTAAAGTGGGTTGAAGCTTTTTTTCATTAATTAAGGTCTCGGGTTTAGGTATTAATATAGGATACAAAATTGTCTTTGGGGCAGTTTCACATAAATACTTAATACGAATTCATAACAATACTTTGATTAAATTTCATTATTATATCAAGTTTTTTAATAATAACACGTATATTATCACATATTTTATTTTTAAAATTAAAAAATAGGACACATAAAAACTTGATCTAAGTGTTCTCCATAAATTTATTTGAATTTAATATGACTTATGGAAAAACATTGGGGAGTGTTAGATACCCCAATAATCACTTTTAAAAGCACTTTTCCGCAAACCGAAACAAACTCCTCCACATATTCATTGTGTATACCGTAAAAGCACTTTTAAAACCAGGGTTTTAATTTTACTCAAAAACCCCCTGGTACATGGTACATAGAAGGCTAGTTATTAATTATTTTGCTCTTACTATTTTTTGGCGGAATTAATTTCTCTTATTATAATTCATACAACTCACTTTATATATGGGTGTGTGTGTCATGGGATATGAAATAATCATTAATTAAAATTTTTAGATATTACAGTTTTATATGTTAGAAAAGATTTAAAAGTATTTGTTTTAATACATTCAATTTTATAATTCTAAAATATTTATTAGTAATTCTTAGGATCAGGTTGATGAACTTCTAAATAGTTTATAAAAAAAAAAATTTATAAATAGCATTTAAACATTATTTACTTTGTATGCCTGATAAACGGGATGAAACTGAGTACGATTTTTCTCTCCATATTCCTTCTCTTCTCCATGTACTCATCTACCTTCCTTCTTATTATTCCCCTCCTCTCTAGTCTCTCTTTCTTCTCTTCTTTTTTGTTTGTTTTTTAATTTTCCTCCCCCCTTCCTGTCTTGCAGGTATCAAGAAATCTAGGTTTAAATTGATTAATCTCATTAAAATGCTTTAAATTGTTTTTTTTTTTTCAGGATTACCCTCATGTAATGAAGGTCATTAAATTAATGTATTTTTAATCTCGTTTCAAAACAAATGGTATTTTTGATAGACAATTTTCAACGCATCCTAATTATGTAAGAACCAAGCAAACCTTTCTTATAAAGAGATTGGAGATGACTTCACCTACTGATTAAAATGTATATATCTTTCTTGAGTCGTGTAAACGTAACTGTGCAATTAAGAATGATGCGAGTTGATGCGTCTAGGGAATATGCATATATAAATATAAAATGATGCGAAGTGATAGTGGCTTTTCACTTAATATAAGCTGAGGATATATAATTTCTCGTTTTAATTCAAGGGGCAGATGTATTTTATGTTGTCTTAACACTTAGACTTCCTTCATGAATTAGCATATAGTAATCCAAAATCATAAAATAAAATACTTCTCATTCCATTTTTTAAAATAATATATAATAATTTCCGGAAGACAGTGCCAAAATAATTTACATGACATTAAAGTCAAATCAATAACTTTAATTAGTAAGCACGATGATATGATCTCTAATTTGTCTCCATTGTATTTCAAGTAGCTTAATTTAATGCAGAAACGTCCTAGAATTATTAATTAAATAAAGGTGATTTGAACTTTGAAGTTTGAACAAGGATTAGTTAGCCACCCATATCTGATCTCATAATTTTAAACATTCAATCGAAAGTGGTTAGTATTTGCTTGCCAAAGTACACGTCATAAGATGTAGCTAGGCTATCAATTATTTATTTATCTTTGTGCGTGTGCATTCGGCCGATTTTTTTTGGGGAAATCACAATAAAGACCCTTGAATTAGCAAAATCACTCTATGGTCACCTGAATATGCCAAATTACCATGAGGGACCCGGTCTCAAATTGTAATTATGAAATCATGGCCAAATTACCAAAAATACCCCTCTTTAATTTTTTTTTTTAAAAAGAAAGCACTGCCTCACCGGAATCCGGCCACCGGCGCCGGAGCTCCGGCACCGGCGGCCGCTTCCGGCGGCCTTCCTTTGTTTTTTTTTTGTAACTGTTTTTTTTTAAATAGTGAGGGAAGTGAGGTTGGGGGATTTGATCCCCCAACCTAATGCTTCCCAAAATAAGGAATGACCATTGAGCCAACAAATTTTTGTTAACATTATGATGAAAAAAATATATAAGTTAACTCATTTATCTTGTTCCAGGTGATGACAACATACATTTAAAAATAACAAGTTCTGATTATAATAACAAGTTGGAATTAAATTTAACAACACGTTTTTTTATAACAAAACACTTTGTTTCAAGTGATAACAACAATACATTTAAAAATAACAAGTTCTGATTATAAAATAACAGTTTGGGATTAAAATTTAACAACACGTTTTTTTTATAACAAAACACTTTGTTCAAGTGATAACAACAATACATTTAAAAATAACAAGTTCTGATTATAAATAATAAGTCTGGGATTAAAATTTAACAACACATTTTTATAACAATTAATTATTTATACTTTTAAAAAATAAATTATTTATAA